CATTATTGAGATCATCTTCAGGGCTCAAAGTGTTTGTTTTCCGTGTAGATGTGTCATTATTGTGTGTCGTGTTGACAGTGCCTTCTCATTGTTGGCGATGTCCTTCAGAATACTCTTTGTTGTATTTGTTCAAAGAATCCCATGTTTTTCGTTCTTCTCGTGCAGTAATGTGTGGTGTTTAGTGTCTGTTAGTGAATGATTATTCGGAGATCGTGAGATGCGGTCTGGTGTGACGTAGGTTTTAGAAAAACATTTTCTTTATCGTGCCAACGTTTCTATTTTTATTGAGCCCTGAAGATGATCTCAATAAAGATCGAAACGTTGGCACGATAAAGAAAATGTTTTTCTAAAACCTACCTCACACCAGACCGCATCTCACGATCTCCGAATAATCATTGACTAACGGTCACTAAACACCACACATTTCTGTGTGTACTTTGCCTTTATCCTGAAGACGCTAGATTCTCCAGACTCGAGACTCTCAAAATTTACTTTATTTGAAATAGTTCGATCAGGAATTTCTTTGTTTTCTGCCTGGAAATCACTGTTCGTGAAATATGATATTGGCTTCTCTGTCATTGAAAAATATCACTGGAGCACCCAATTTTCGGCTCTCTTGACCCGGATTGATTCCCAACACCGCAGTGAATGTGCTGATCATGTCATGAGCTCATTATACAAAGACATTATATTTCGTGGTTTGATTGACCAAATAACTTCTTTCAATTAATTAATATTTTTATGCAAGATTTTGGTTAAAATGAAAAAGTTAGTGTCACGAGCGGGATTCGAACCCAAGACCTTCTGCTCGATACGCCTCTTCTCTAACCACTTGAGCTATCGTGGCCGCGTGTTGGTGATTGTCGCGATAGCTCGTGTGGTTAGGAAACTAACTTTTTCATTTCAACCAATACCTTCACAGAGATTAATTAATTGAAGAGATTATATAAAGAGTTAAGGGGTTCTCCAGCGTTGGTCGATCTGAAGAAGCCCAATTTTAAAGATTACTTGTTGGTAGAGCTGTGTTGTCTTTTTGAATGCGCTGAACTCGACTGTGTGGAATTTTCTTCTATTCCCTTTGCAATTGGCATGCCATCGAATCTGTTTTTCATTTCTTGGCAATGTTCAATTCTGAGAGAGATCGCTTGCTTCACCTAGGTTGCTTCACTCTGTCAAGGTGTGTACTTCTAGGTTTTTTTGGAAGGTTCAATATCTAGCCTTTGATTGAGTTTGTGAGGCAGGCTTGGATTGAAAGATACATATAAGATATAAGAACTGACTGAAGAATTTACTACTGGATGCTGCATTTTATGTATCGAACCTAACTAGAAATACTTACATATCACTTTCGATCAAGAAGAAATCCGTTCCCGTTATCTCAAATTCCAGAAAAACCTCCCTATGTATGTAAATGTAAAACTATGTAAATCAGCACATCAGAAACCTCGCATCCCGACGAATCCCCTCAAACCCTCCTCGACGACTGACGAGACAATGGCCGCGAGATCTCCTAGGAAGTGATGATAGTGAAAGTGATAACGATACAAATATCAATTAAACAAACAATATTTTAGTAACATTGGAATAACACCAATGGGTATTTTCTGCACTTTTTTTGTTTAATTGTGTGTATATTACCTTGTACATTGTTACCTATTTGAAGGGAGTATAAATAAAATGACATATTATGTGTATATATATATATATATATATATATATATATATNAATATATAAAACTTACAACTCCTTATCCAATTACAAATACCTTCAAGAAGGTAACCAGTAACAATGAGAGCAAGGTAATATATACAAAATTATAAATATTAGAAGGTATATATATACATTCTCTTTTCTCTTTTTTTTTAAATCCATACAGAATTTTCATTGTTATTTATTTTAACGCGGCGACCTACGGCAGACGGATGTTTCGATCCATTGTCTATTTACTGTTATGTTTTTCTTCTCTGTATTGTATTTTGATTTATATTGTAAATATAACAGTTTGTCATTCATTTATTCTTTCTTCGTATAAGGAACATTTGCCTCAATATTCTCGGTAAAGCGAAAAATCCTAGCCAATTACCCATGGGACGAGCCCGGGGAGTCCGATTCCAGAAAACGGAATAAGGCCAATTTTCTGGTCACGAATCTCCAAGCCAATTCCGGTAGTAATCTGCCTAGATTCTACCGGAAATAAATTAGAAAAATATTTAACGAACAATTACACCGTTCAATTGTTGTTGGACAATGAAGGGTCGGACTGTACACGTTAACACCCCTTTCTTTGGATATCCCGAGGCGTGATGTTATTTACACTAAAGACGTTAGTCTCTGGTTCGTAATTACGGTTTTCCCATTGGAAATTACTATATTTAATTCTCAAATACTTACCCGGTTAACTGTCTTCCATTATATTAGTTCAAAGCTAATAAGTCATTTGAATTTACAGATTTAAAATGTTTTCGACTGAATCAGATGTAAAAACAACTTATACCAACATTACAAAATGATAAAACTCCTTATATCCAGTATATTTATTACAGTAGCTAAAGTTTAAAACTCCTTATATCCAGTATATTTATTACAGTAGCTAAAGTTCATCTAAATAAAACTAATAACAAAATATTTTAATAATAATAAATTTGTTTTAAATGGCCTGCCAATAATGAGGAAATAGAAGTTTTTTCGGAGGATCTACGGAAGAGGTCAACAAAGAGAAAAACTTCCTTTCGGTTTTCGCCGAGCTTTCGACAGTTTTTTATACTGCCTTCTTCAGGGCCTGTTTTATTATCGTATAAAAAAAAAAACAATTAAAAACATGAAAAACAAATTGCACAAAAATTGAAATATCTTACTTAAACGGGTGTTTTTTGGGGAGGGGGCAAAACGTAATGTACCTCTGTGCCCAAAACACCATGTCTTTTTATTTCCCCATTAAGGTTTAAGTAAGATATTTCAATTTTTGTGCAATTTGTTTTTCATGTTTTTAATTGTTTTTTTTAATACGATAATAAAACAGGCCCTGAAGAAGGCAGTATAAAAACTGTCGAAAGCTCGGCGAAAACCGAAAGGAAGTTTTTCTCTTTGTTGACCTCTTCCGTAGATCATTTCTCACTTTTTATCTGAAGGACTTTAAAGCAATACATTTTGTAATCTAACTTCTAGATACAACGAGAGTTTACGGTTTTCATTCACATACACATACTCTCTCTCACTCTCTCTCTTTTTCTCTCTATCCCTCTATCATCAGTCTTTTTTGCTTTCTCACTTTCCACTTTCTCTCTCTTTCTGTTTAAGTTTATATACTAATCTCTCTTCTATCCTTTTTACCATTGGCTACAGTTAAATCCCCTCTCTCACCATCCCATTGTCTCTCTTTCTCTCTCTCTCTCTCTCTCTCTCTCTCTCTCTCTCTATCTATCTATCTATCTATCTATCTATCTATCTCTAACACTGTCCCTCTATCTCTAACTCTCTCTCTCTCTCTCTTTCTCTTTCTACCTCTCTTTCCCTTTCTCTCCTTCCTTCTTTTTCTCTTCATCTACCCATCTATAATCCTCACTTTTTATTATTAGCAAATTTATGTATTTTTCTCTCTCCTTCTCTTTCTTACACTCGCTGTTTTTTCTTTATTTACCAATCTATACTTTTTATTTTTGGCCCCCATTTATAGCGGCCTAGAACAATTTTCTCAGTTTCTTTCTATCTGTCTGTATGTCTCCCTCTCTTTCTTCTTTTCTGTCTCACTTTCATTCTCTTTCCCTCACTCTCTCTTCTCTCTCCCCAAATGTGTGCACTAGAATTAACGATTTGGTACGACAGAAGAATCTCATAATAAAGACCCCCCCCCCCAATACACATAACTTTTTTAGATGTTATCCGGCTTTTGTTAGCGGTGGGTCGCTGCATTTTCTTCGGGAATTCCCTCTCGGGACATTATTATAAAAGACCCTCTTTTCATTCTCAGTTATTAATCTTTTTACAAATGGTTTTAAATGTATCAGATTCGTTGACATGCTTATTTGAAATATGAATATGCGTAAATATGATTATGCTTCGTTCGTCGTTGAGTGCGGGTTGTTTCAGACAAAAGCTAGAATTTGGTCGTCATCAACGGTTGAATGACGAACAGAGCGCTTTACTTATTCCAAATCCAAAATTTTGCTTATGAATTTTTTTAATTACTTCATAAAAGTAAACAGTCATAACATCGTCAACTTTTTTCTTGATTCTTTTGTTTACAATTTTCTGAGAGACTAAGGCGTTATTTGAATTTTAAGAAAAAAGGGGTGTGACATATTTCACACCCTGTATACTATATGACAATAAATAATAAGTAAGTAAAATTATTATCTTTACTTACTTAATGAACAACTTGTTTTTTTAGTAATGTAATTATTTTGTAATATTATTTGTATAGAATCTTAAATATCGTTTAATAATTCAACTCTTGTAACAGGGCAATGTTAAATAAAAGCTTTATTATCTTTTTTTAGAAGCTAATTGAATAGAGAAATTTTGAGGGAATTTGCAAAGGTCCAGGAGTTTTGTAGTTATTAACAGTTACCAATCCAAAATTTTCCATAAATTCCAAATTTCAACATTTTTGTTTTTTCTGAATTTTTCGTGCATAATTCATTCATCAATTCTACAATGTAAATAGGTTTCCTCACAACAAATTTAACTTTCTTTCAGGTGGCTTAAACCAGATTTTTGTGCAGTCGGTAATTCAATAGTTTATTTAGTTAAACTAAGTCGAAAAAGAAGCCAAAACTTGAAATTTCTTATTTACCGTTGAGATTTGGACAGGGGTTTTATAGGAAGTTTTTTGTTGCATATAATGAGTAGAAACACGTGAAATTTTCGCCACTTATGGCCAGTCCTCCTGTATACATACTAAACAATTAACCGAAACATCAGTTTTTAATAGAATAAATAACAGACTGACAAGGTTGACCATAAATATATAAAATATAAATAAATGTTTGAATCATGTGCAATGTACAAGGTACATTTACTTTGAAATTTAAATATCAGGGATATATTAAATAGTGATTAATTCGGTTTTTTTCAGTATATAGTAAATATTAACATGGTTAAAATGAAGGGGTTGGAAGGGGAGCCGACGTCGGCAGCAGGGGCTGTAAAAGTGGGGTGGTTCTCGTGGTGGGGTGGTTGTCGTGGTGGGACGGTTCGAGTGGTGGGGCGCCATCGGCGGGGCCACGGCGGCCATGAGCGGTAGTGGTGACGTCTCGAATGGGGATTGGCCAGCGGGCCCGTACCGCCGCCCTTCCACGTCTCTGGGCGTGGCTAGCTCTCTCACAGCGCCGTGGCGCACCAGTTTTGTGCCGGTTCTCGGTGTGATAGTGTCATCCTCCGTGGTCATCGCCCCTTACTCTGGATTACTTGAACGTAAGCGGAGCGGGGGTGGTCCCTGAGGTGATTCACCCCCCACCCCCGCCTCATCCCCACATCTCGCAGCTGGGGACCGTCTACGCCACCAAAAGACGGAGGAGGAATGGAAAAAGGTACGAATTTATGAAAGAAAAGGGAGAAAAAAAACCACCCCTGAATAAAAAAAGAGCTTTAGAATTATAGACCTTCAAAAAAGAAAAAAATATCCACCCGTATTTTTTATAAATAATTCGTCAAGTTAATATATTACGCAGGAAATTTAAATTTTTACGCTGGAAATTTTATTATGTCATTAATTCATTAAATTAGTGAATGTAAACCATCGTAATAAATAAATGAATACGTAAAAAAAATCAAATCAAATTTTAGCTCTAGACGTTTGTAATTGCCTTAATTTATTAGATTAGCGTGCCAACATGGTTCAATTTACCAATTGCTAAAAATCTTAATCCGAAAAGAACATCCTTCCATAAAAAAGAAAAACTAGACAAAAGTTATTTTTTTTTTTTTAAATCAACATACCGCCTATAAAATTTTAAATCTTTATTGTGACGTTAATTAAGCACAATAATTTTTAGAAAATAAATGCATAAAATATATGGAACAACAAACAGGCTGTAAATATTTTGTTGTGATCATGGGGTTAGTACACCAGCTCATATCAACCTATCATTTTCGAAAATGCATAGGTCGAACAACCCCATTCGTAAATTTAAAAATAGGCACTCAACGAAAATAATTTTTTTGTATCAAAGTTACCTCAAAGGAAAATTACTAACACTCCTTCTCGTCTTTAAAAGCGTACGATAAAAACAAAAATTCATTTGTAACAACGTCAACATCGGAAAATGTTTAAAATTGCATTCACTAAATGTTTCTTAACTTCTTGTGCTTTGTTCTTCTTGCCTTGTCTTATGGCTTCGAAGCTTTTATGTTAAGCTTTCCTAACGTGTTTTTTTTTCGAATGCATTTCATATCAGTACAAGATTCTTCCTCGATTTATTGTAGGTTTTTAGTTTTCACTTTCCCCTTATGTATTTAGTTATTCATTTTCTGAGGGGTTTTTTCTACGCGAATTTGAATTAATGTTCGGCTTTTCCTAAGGTTTTTGAAAATAAATTTATTGCAAATGTATTTTGAAGAAGTACAAGCCTCCTCGGTAAATATAGGGTTTTTTTTCTGTTGACCTGCCGCTTGTATAAATAATTCTTAATTTTACGCGTCTATTATTTTTGTGTGACTTTTCATCTTAAGCTTTTCCAATGGTTTTTTAAAATTTGATTTTATTTATTTATTTTTTTCAAATGGCAAATGCATTTCGAGACAATACAAATCTTCTCGATACATAAAAGGGTTTTTTTCTTTTGATTTGTCGCTTATATAATTAATTCTTAATTGTATGTGTTTTTTCTTTGTGTGAGACTTTTCGTCTTGAGCTTTTCAAACAGGTTTTCAAAATATTTTTTTAATTACAAATGCATTGCGAGACAGCACAAACCTCCTTGACACATTATAGGGTTTTTTTTCTCTTGCTTATATAATTAATTCTTAATTTTATGCGTCTTTTTTGTCACTTTTCATCTTAAGTTCTTCAACTGGTTTTTAATTTTAATTTTATTTTTAATTGCAAATGCTTTTCCAGGCAGTACAAACCTTCTCAAGATATTTTAGGTTCATTTTTCTTTCGACTTGTCGCTTCTATAATTGACTAAGTTTTATGCGTCTTTTCGTTTTTTGTGACTGTTCATATTAAGCTTTTGAAACTGTTTTTTTAATTTATTTATTTTAATTGCAAATGCTTTTCCAGGCAGTACAAACCTTCTCAAGATATTTTAGATTTATTTTTCTTTCGACTTGTCGCTTCTATAATTGATTCTTAATTTTATGCGTCTTTTCGTTTTTTGTGATTGTTAATTTTAAGCTTTTGAAACGGGTTTTTATTTTTATTTATTTATTTTTTTTGCAAATGCTTTTCCAGGCAGTACAAACCTTCTCAAGATATTTTAGGTGTATCTTTCTTTCGACTTGTCGCTTCTATAATTGATTCTAAGTTTTATGCGTCTTTTCGTTTTTTGTGACTGTTCATATTAAGCTTTTGAAACTGTTTTTTTTAATTTATTTATTTTAATTGCAAATGCTTTTCCAGGCAGTACAAACCTTCTCAAGATATTTTGGTTTATTTTTCTTTTGACTTGTCGCTTATATAATTAATTCTTAATTTTATGCGTCTTTTCTTTTTTTGTGACTTTTCATCTTAAGCTTTTCAAACGGGTTTTTTTTTTTTTTTTTTTATTTAATTTTTGCAAATGCTTTTCCAGGCAGTACAAACCTACTCAAGATATCTTAGGTTTAATTTTCTTTTGACTTGTCGCTTATATAATTAATTCTTAATGTTATGTGTTTTTCTTGTTGTGTGACTTTTCATATTAAGCTTTTCCAACGGGTTTTTAATATTTTTAATTTCAAACACATTTACAAATACAGTCCAACCTTCCCTTCGATATATTATAAATTTAAAATTTGTACACTGCCAATTACTATGGTAATTTTAAAATTAGAAAACGCAAACAATCCCTTTAAGAAATTCAATATATAAAACAATTCAAACTTTATTCTGTAAATGTTTGTTACAGCTTTTTTAGCTTCTAAATAACACAAAAAAAAGCTTTCTAAACAAAAACTTTTCATCCCTTTATTTAATAAATAAATTAACTAAAAAAATTATATTTCCACTGTCGAACCATTGCAAACATAGGAATATTCATCCACAAGAAAAACACGCTAAATCTTTTTGAATCTTTATTTTCTGCAATTTTTTTCTATGAGTGTTTCTTCATATGTGGTTGAATGATTTCAAACGATTATACAGCCTTAATTTTAGTTTTTTCAATACAACAGCTGATGTCAATGGGCCAGGGTAAAAAAATCATAAATTTAACGCAAAGAATATTAATTTGTAATTAAATCGACATAGGTAACGATTTAAACTTGTACATGTAATTGTTTATTTGCACAATATGAGATTAGTGTCATCTTTCGTTTTTTAAAACAAACCTATTGAAGATTAATCAGTCATATAAAAAAAAAATTAAAAATTATAAACTGTACGTCGTGTACGTTTATTATGTGTACATATACCTATAACATTTTAAATTTTTATAGGGTACACTTTTAGGAAATCAATAACGGGTAGTTGGAAGTTAAGCTTCCATGTCAATTATTTTACTTACTGTAAATTTTTAATTTAACAAACATTTTCAGTAAATCAATAATGTATAAAAAGTTTGAAACATTTCAAACTAGAGCCTGTAAACATTTCTTACAGCTTTGATTGAAGATATTAAAGAGACAACTTGCATCAACTTATCTTTTGCTAAATTTTGCTAAAAATTACAGGGCCAACTAGCCTCTTCCTACTTTCTAAAACGTAATATACAATATAATGTATGTATGTATAAATAGTACGATAAAATAATAAAGAATTAAAAATTATAATTTTTTCTTCTTGTAAATGCTTATAATGATCGTAATTTATAATCCTTTATATTTCATGGCCCGATTGACCAAATAACGTCTTTCAATTAATTAATTTCATTTCAACCAATACCTTACATAAAAATTAATTAATTGAAAGTAATTTATAATATTTTGTAGGCCAACTTGCATCTATATTGAGGTTGTTGAATAATTATAGATCATATTGTCTTCCCCTTTTCAAAAAGAATGTAATATACAAAAATTAAAGCAGTAGTTAAATGCACAAAAAATTACTTTTATATTGACAATACTTGATGATAAATGACCTTTTTATCTGTAACATAATACTATCATTATACCATTACCATAAGGAAGAATAATGGTTTTGAAGTATTTTACGCACATTTATGAATGGATAATAAGATAACAAACATATTAATTAAATTCTCTCACTCTCTCTCTCTCTCTCTCTTTCTTTCTTTCTTTCTTTCTCTCTCTCTTTCTCTCTCTCTCTCTCTTTCTTTCTTTCTCTCTCTCTCTCTGTCTCTCTCTCTCTCTCTCTCTCTCTCTCTCTCTCTCTCTCTCTCTCTCTCTCTCTCTCTCTCTCTCTCT